AAGGAAGAGAAATTAAGTGTGTGAATTTTAAACCTATAATCAAAGACAACATTGCCCTGCCTTATACAAGATATGAAAATGGACACACTTGTTCAAACTTCACTGTATGTATTTTGAAATACATACACTTTTTGTGATGTATTCTTGCAGTTCTGTGGAAATTTTTTACTTATAGGTTAGAAGGCCTATACTTCCTTCTCTGTCTGTTTGCATTCACCAGGGAACTGTTTTCACTCCCTCACTTATCACTTTGAAAGTTCAGAAAAGCCACAGATAAAATGTAAATTCCAAAACCATCTGTCTAATAAGTAATAGAGTTTCACCATTCTTGATTATATTAGTTCAGAATCTAGGAAGATTAGATAGGAAACAAGGGTAACTTTGTAAATTACTTGCAAAATAACCCAATGCTTCACAATCTCTCAACTTGTCAAAGCATCATATTTTTCTTGGGAGAATATAGGACTAATATTCATATCACAAAATGATAAGGATGGCAATATTACTTTGAGTGAAGTACTTTGAAAACACACACACACACTTACTCTGTTCACTTCCTCAGAAGTAATTTGGGGTTTTTTTCCTTACCCTGCAGCTGGCACCATCCATCCATCCCATACCCAGTATCTTGCTCCTCAGAAGCACACCAGTTCTTTAGGGGGATCAGAGTTCTTTGCTTCATCTGTGTCTCCATATCTCTCACATAAATCTTGACAAAGTTTTGCTACTTCTTAAATTTAGAGCCAATTCAAGGGCAAAGCTGGGTAAGAGTTCTTGCTAGGTACATAAAATAATAATAATAATAATACTTTGGCAATCAATTTCACACCGACTAAGCTTGATTGTTCTCCTTATGATCTACTGTTACTCACTTTGTTCCTGTTCTCTGTAATCAATATTTACCTTTGATCTTTTATTTAAATAAACCAATTTTATTCAATTAAGAATATGATGGTTTCACTAGCAAGTGACAGATCACGGATTTTAAAAGCTAATTTTGTCACAATCTATTGAGAACATAAGTACAAAGTTCAGTTTGTATGGTAGCTTTTCATATTCTAAAAATTAATCTTCAAATTTTTTTGCCACTTGACAGAAACCATCACCTAATATTTTTAATTCTAACCGTATAAGTGAAGTAAAATAAAACATTACACCATAGTCTAAAAACACTTTAAAATTTGGTGGTACATTTATGAATATAATTATATTTTAAACTTTGAAACATTTAATAATTAAAAATTAAGAACCCACATACTTCCTAAAATAAATATATTAAGCCATGACAAGAATTCATTTGAAGTATAAAATGATTTGCTAATTAACATTATAGGAAACCAAGAGAATTTTGGAAAGATGCTTTATGCAACTAAAGGTAGTCCTAGAATCAGATGACTAAAATTCCCTTTTCACCAAGAAACAAGACAAAAGAAACAAAATGGAAAGACAGCTTTACATTTTAAATAAGCAATAAAAGTGAAACTTGTATTTGTTTTTGTTTTTTATACAGAATATGGAGCATCACTCCTCCAGCAAGATAAGACACTTTAATTCTTCCACCTAGTAAACACATGATATGCACTAAACTAATTCTTTATATATGTAAAGACCAAAAATCTACACAAATTATCCAGATTAAATTTGTGAATTTTTTCCTCTGAATAGTTCCCAATGTTAAAGATATTAGCTCAGAAATGATGGTGAAAATTCTACATCTCGGGAGAAGACTGACAGGAATTCATTCCACATTTCTGAAATAATAACTTATTCTCATCTGGGTCCATATTAAATGTTAATTTCCAAATGATTTTTCTGGTCAGGAGTGCATAAAAGACACACAAAGACATTTTTAGTGTTGCCCAAGGGTGTTTTTTTTTTCCTGCAATGTGTTTAATCCCTTTAAAAAGACAGAATTTTTTAAAAGAAAATTAAAAATTATGTAGAAGTTTCTTTTCTTCTTTGTGGTTTATGTTTGGGAAAGTTTTTGTTACAGTTATTAATAACCCAAAACACAATATCAAACTGAGTTAGTTACTTAAAATGTGATACATTAGTTGCATGGGGTGTGAAACTTTTGTCAACTTAATTCTGTAATTCAGACAAAGATAAATATATTATTTACCACTGGATAATGAATATATATTGATATCTTATAGGCAGTACAAATATAATTTAGGCAAATAATTATTTTTTTTCCTTTTCTAAGTAATCTATCAGTATGTCCTAGGAAGTAATTCTTAACCCTTAAATTAAATATATTTTAATTTTTTATTTAATGAAGGTTATTAAAGAAATCTATTTAGTTTGTAGAAATTTAATCAGGTCTATAAAGTGGTCATTATTGCCAATGGGGTAAAATTTGATTATTTTAATCTACTAATCTTTGATAAGTTCTCTTTTTCCATCAAACGTTTTCTTAGCCAAAAATGAGTATTTTAGCTATAATTGTTAAAATGGTGATATTTTCATTGCTTTGCCAAAATGCAGTGAAGCAATATGAAAAAGGTCTTAGTAAAATACTTGTTAGTTATATTACTGAAACAGTTACCTTTGAAATAATTTCTTCTTAATGGTTCATCACCTTTACCTCCCCAACTCTGCATCCTTTTGTTCAAATGCTGTGTTACCTTTGCTATTGATTTTTGAGAAATCAAGTTATACTGCATTTTAGTAAATTATATGTACCCTCTTCATTTTCTTTTTTTTTCAGGAGGACATTTGTTCTACTTCCTGAAAGGCATATATTGATAGCACATCTATAGCAAAATATGAAGTAAAAATATTGTCATACTTTAAGCCAAATTGAGCTTAATCTGGATTTGAAAAAATATTCCAAAGCAATCAAATTTGAAAACCAAAACTATGAAGAATGAGACCAATTTTATCTTCTCTTTTTAAAATCTGTGAATAATTCAGCTGAAAAATATTTTTTTGCATAAATCAACTAATACACTTAATTCTAAGATCTCATGAGGAGTGGAGAACTTGTCACTTAGTGGTTTTCATTCCTAAAAATTCCCAAGTTTTCATTACCATTTTTTAAAAAGAAATTTCCTATTAAGATTGATATGTAATTTTTTTCTTAAAATTGACTCATTTAACTTTAAATAAATATTTTCATGGTAGAAACATTATATATGCATTACCAAGCACATTAGTTGGCCTGGAGATATATTTTTTTCTAATAAATCAGGATGAGTAAAATGAAGTATATCAATGCAGTGCCTAAATTATTATAATAGTGCATATTTATTCATTCACTTGACAAACATGTATTGGAGAAGATTATCTTAGACTCTGGGGATACTCTGAATACAGCAGGCAAAATCTTCCTCTCATTGTTCTCACATTCCAGTTTACCACAGGTTGTATGTTTATTACCAAATAGGAAATTCTAATATAATTTATACAAAACTTATATAAGGAATATGAATCTATTCTTATGATTCTCTTCATGGGAAAGAAAGTTTTCTTTTTATGTTAAGGAGAAAATGCCTTATAAGCAAAGCTGTGAAGAAAATAAGTCTAATTATTTTTCTTCTTTATTTAAGGAAACCACAGAAAACATGAATGAAATGGTGAGAAATTTTTATTTTCCTGAAAAATTTTTATGTTTTTAATATGTAATATTACAATATCACTGGCATAAGAAAGTATCTGTAAATTTCCTCTCTTAGTATACCAAAAAGGGATGTATACATTTATTTAAAATAACAATTTCTCCCTTCCCACTTTAATAGTATCCACCTAAATTGCTATATATTCTCTTGAGACATTTCCATTCCATGATAAGGTGATTTTTATCTCTTTCATTTGTTTTCCAAAGGTAATCAATGATGAACATTTGAGAAAACTAATTGTGTTGTTTTTATTTCAATACTTTAATCTATCATACTAATGATTATACAGGAAAATTGAGGCCTATCTAAAACAACCTTTATCATTAAAGAAATAATGCCAAGGATTTCCTCTGGTCACTAAATTTCGATTATTATTATTTTTCAAGCAACCTTCTAGCAGCTCTTCCAGTGAAATAAGAGATTTTTTTTAACATCAAAAAGCCATTTCACCAAGAAGTGGCAGATTTTTAGCAATTAGATTGTTCATCAAATTGTAACCCAAACTTAACGGTATTTGAGGGAGATTGAAATTGATTATCTGAACGTTGGTTTCCTGTTTCATGCTCTTTGACAGTGTGCATCAGTCATCTGATTCCAGAGAAAATTGCATTTTAAAGTAAGCCAGAGTTACATCAAGAGGCTGCCATTTGCCTTCAACATAGTTTTATCCTGAAAAGCCCCTCAATGTCTCTTAGAGCAGTGGTTCTGAAAGTGTTGCCCCTCAGCTAGCAGCATCAACATTATATTCTCATGCATTTTAAAATTTGAGATTCTTTTGTTTAAAAATAAGAGGCTGAATAAGGGATTGGATTAGAAGTTGTGTGCATCACTGGTACAAGATACACCTGCCATGGTAGAAATATCCAAACAGTAAACATGATGGGAAAAAGTATCTGGGAAAGCAAGAAGCAGAGTGGCACGATGAACCTTGTGGCCTTTGGTGCTGCTGCACTCTTCCTAGTCAGGGACTGGGAAACATACTCTACCCTTCTTCCAAGCTGCAAGTATCATCGTCAAATGGAGAGTTAACGTCACTTAAAGATAACATTTGTGTCATCTAGAAAGGCTATGTGGGACTTGGTTTGCCATATACCTCACCAGGCCTGTGTCATCATCTTTTATGACACTTGTCACCTTCTCTAGGCTTTTGATATTGTATGAATAATTTAAAATTATGAAAATTTAAAATAAATCATATTTTTATTCATGTGCTATTTTGATAGTGCTTACTCTGATAACAAATGTTCTAATTTTTAAAATTAATTTATTAAATTCCTAATAAATGACGTAATTTTTTAGTAGTAGTGGTTTGGACCGTGAGTATTTAATTAATTACTCCTAATATTCAAGCATGACTCCAAGGCTTAATCATGCAAGCAATGTTAATTCTTCTTTCCTTCCCCTAAAAGGAATCTGCAGAAATTTCCACAGAGGTAAGTAATTTTCATTCAAATAAAATAAAATTAATACCAATTAGTAGTATTTTCTTTTTGTGTATTTTTACAGAAATCATTTTTTTTCTTACCAGGAAATTAAGCACACTGTGGACCAAAAGCACTACGTAAAACAACTGGTAAATTTCTCATAAATTATAATTTCAAGTAAAACATCGTATTTTGGCTGTTTCTTCTCTCAAATATTCACACAATTCATTCTATCCCATGAAGAAATTTATCCCCAATTTGTAGGAGTCTATTTTTTTTTATTTTTGTTGCTCTAGTTTGTGGCTATTATTTTTGTCAAATCGATGTGGATTTATATTTTAAGAAAAATGAATATTGAGCAATTATCCACTGATTTTGGAGGAGTTACAAATTTCAAAGTTTGTTGCAAGTTTAAATGACCTTAGTTAGATACCAGTGCAGTTAAAGTATCACATTATTGATCCCTCAGCTACTCTTTGACTATGGGATCTTAGACGACTATCTGAAGTGTAAAGTTTTTAACTTACAGGAGGTCATGTAATCAAGGAGTCCCCAAACCATAGGGGATACCTGTACCTCTCTGACCCTCTGTAGCCTGTTAGGAACCAGGCAGCACAGCTGGAAGTGAGCTGCAGGCAAGCCTGAGCTCCACCTGCTGTCAGATCAGCTGTGTCTTTGTCAGATTCTCAGGAAAGAGAACTCTACTGTGAACCGCGCCTGCGAAGGATCTAGGTTGTGTGCTCCTTATAAGAATCTAACCAATGCCTGATGATCTGAGGTAGAACAGTTTTATCCCGAAACTATATCTTCTCCCTCATTCGTGTTAAAAATGTCTTCCACAAAACCGGTCCTTGATGCCAAAAAGGTGGAGACTCCTGATGTAATCCATCCTCTGCGGACTACAGAAGTTTGCTGCGTGTGCAGGAAAAGCACTTAGGTTTGGAGTCAGGCAACTTGTAGTCCAACTCCAGCTCCACGAGTTATTATTACTTAACCTCTCCAAGCTCCAATTCCCTTAACTAAAAATACGGAGATCTGCATTAACCCTGCAGGATTGTATTAGATGATATATATTTAAATAATATAAAAATTGCTTGGAACACAGTCGATAAATGCATCTTTAAAAAGTGACAATTATTATCCTATCTTTACACAGAGGAAGACATTCTAAAACATTTATGATAGAAACACTTGTTTTTGAACACTTAAAAATAGAATGCTCCAAATAAAACCTCTCTGTTTAGGAATTTAGATCGTTACTAACTTCTTTGTTGCTCTAAATGTCTTTTTTATATTTTGACAAAATACTTCCAGTAGCATTCTCACTTTACACCTCTCTTAATGTAACCATGGATTCATCCAACAATTCCAAAGGCCTGTTGACTCGACACACACTTAGTTTTCTCCCTCTATTAAATGAAAATTCTTCTAAGGAAAAAAAATGCTATTGTGGTGTTACATTTAACCCCTAAAAATAATCTTTGTAAAATCAGTTCAAAGGCTCTGGAACTTACTAGAATACTTAGGTACTAGGCAAACTTCTCATTATATTTTAACAGATATAATCCTACATAGTAAGTAATGCTCAAAGACTTCGAGCAATTTTATCATAGTCATGAATTCCAATGCCTCGGGTAAAGGGAATTAAAGTCCAGTTCTGACTCCAAAGACCAGACTAATTTTCAATACACATGGAAAAGAAATGATAAGTTGAGACATATATCTTGTAATTGTTTTTATATTTCTTTTTCTTTCTTAAACATACTTTTTTCCCTGGAAATACAATTTTCTCCCATGATCTTATTTAATTTGATAATTTTTTAAACTCTGCAATTGACTATAAATGTAGACACAGTTAAGGTAAAATTTAGGTATCTAAACTGTTCTTTTTCTAAGTAAATTTGCCACCACTTATGAATTTTCTAATTAAAGTACTAATTCATTCAGTTCTGCTAACATTTGCTTCAACTCATGAAGGATATAAAACATTGGAATAAATATTTATAATATCCTTTCTCTCTAGAACAGAATCAACCCATTTTATCAGAAGTGGAACTTCCTCCCATATGTTTAGGTTCCTTATCAACAACAGATGGTTATGAACACAGAGGATCAGTTTAAGGCAAGTGTCTACCCCTTTGTTCCTGCTGTGGTAAGTTTTGCATCTTTAAGGGGCAAGGGGTACAGGATAAAAACACACACAGTAACTAAATGCAAAATGCACCCAAAAGTTCTAACTAAATGCACCCAAAAGTTCTAACTATAAAGGTAGAACAGTCCAAATACAATAACAAATAACAATAGTAGCAATAGTGACAAGTAAGTACTAATTTAATTTAACATATATGTCCTAAGTATTTGCTCATATAATCATTTCACTTGGTTCTTTAAACAATTCTTTAATTTAGGGGAGAAGGTAGAAACCAATATCTTTATTTAACAACAAAAAATATATATAATATATGGAAATGTAAGGAAGTAGTTGCTTGAACTCTAAATAACCATTTCCATTTTGTTTCCTAAAATTGATTTGTCTTAAGAATTTTTTTCTAATATAAGCAAGAAATGACAAAAGTTCTCAGCCTTTTGATTAGATCATAAAATTAAAGCTTTTTTGTCTGGATACAGGGCCTATAAATATAGCCACCCAATAAAAGGTCTAGTTTGATTTCGCTTATTTAATCTCTAGGAGTAATTAAAAGTCCAAAGAAAGGGGAAAATAACAAGTTTATAAGTAATTAAACATAATATTTATATATTTTAAGGGATCTGCCGGCATCTCTCAGAAAGTAAATGCAAACCACTTATATTAAATATATTTAAAGAATTACTTTTTATTTTTCTATTATGACTTGCTATTTTTACCAATGTGTTTTCTATTTTGTGGAAATATAAGCAGAAAAAAGGATGTAGTTATACATACAGTCAGGTAAAATATATTTATCTGTTTACTGGTTCACGATGAGATACATCTTAGATGCATGTACATTATTTTTTACCAGTCTTATTCCTTATAAGTATCTTTTTAAATATCTAAGTGTGAAAGAGGTGATGAATGGATGTCAAGAGGGTCTCAAAAAAACATACTTGTGTGCCATTTGTGAACCACATTGTCAAAGTTAGATATTCCTGAAAGAATTTTGTGTCAGTTTTCCATCACCTTTCCATCACCAGTTGATTGCAAGTTTGTCATCAAATGCTAGACTGGCACTATATTCCTCTTGAATCAGTAGATACATATTTTTTTTTATTCTTTCCAATAATAAAATCCCTCACTCCAAAACCTAAAAGGCGAAACAATTTAATGACAGTGTATTTGAGGAAAAAACAATAGTCAATCATATTTAGAAACAGTATATAACACTAAATCATGTAATAAATAACATTATTTTCTGTATACTTTAAATTTATTTACTATTTTAACTTAAATTTGTCACTGCTAATATGTTACTATTTCATTCTTAGAATATAAATTAAAAATAATCTTCATATTAAAAATGACAGTTTTAGTTTGGCATAAAGGTTCTTTCATTCACATAGGGCAACCCTGCAGAGCTAATTGGTTAACAGACCAGGACAGTGCTCCTATTCAATGAACAGACACCAAACTTGCTATCACCTTGTTGTACCTTCCTTCCTTTTTGCCCCATTGATACAGGAAAGCTAGTTTCTGTTTTCACATTAGCCTGTCATTTCTAAAGGAAATGAGTAGATCTTAATTTGAGACTAATGGACAGTTTGATAAATAAGAAACAGGAAAATTTTACTGTTTTTAAATAGCTGCATTTTTCTGAAAGGAAGAATTATTGAATTTATCTAAGTTTTATGGGGATGTTTGAATGTATCAAAATTTAAAAACAGTTATCTGAAACATATCCTCATTATCAGAATTAAGATCTTTTACACTTTTGCCACTAATACAGTGGCATAATGGTTGATGTGTTTGTAGAAGTATATGCATGCATATGCGTAAGTATATTTATTTACCATTCTTAGAATACATATTTTAAATGGTTTTCCCTTATGCTATAGTACTGATCAACCAAAAATTGAAAACATACGTAACCAGTGATCATGAAAACAACCAACTACTTTTGTCATAATTTTATGAATAATCAATTAAAGGAGGGTTTAACTTGCATGAATCAACTAATCAAACTAAGTTTGCCAGCTTCCATGAGAAATGAAAGCCTAACCAGTTAGTGGTTTTCATTCTTCTTAAATTTTTTTTAGTGAATTCCACTGTATACATCTTCGTTTATACATCTTTGTTAGTTTCCTATTGATAAATGATGTTTCTATTTTTCAAATTATAAAAACAACATATTAACATTATTATATTTTATACATATATGGATATATTAATAGGATACATTTTTAAAAATGAAATTTCTGGCTTAGAGAATATGTACATGAAATTTTTATAATATTTTAATCACAAACTTTAATACCACAAATTAATATATAACACATGTGTAATCATAAATTATGAGTATCATAATTAATAATTATAGTTTTATATTTTATGACAGTTTTATTTCATATATATATAATCCTAAACACTATTTAGTTTTGCTTGCATTTATTTCTCTTTTCTGCACATGTATCCCAGAACTTAAAGTATAATTAAAAAAAGAAATATTGTATTTTGCAAATACTGTGTCTCTTACAACTTTCTAGATCTTAGAGATTAAAACGTGATTAAAAGAAGCAATACAAATAAATTTATTTTTATACATCTTCTTTATAAAAGAGTAGTTTTTCTCTGTACATCCAAGAAAAAATTATGAATAATGAATACACTGAGAACAATGTGTCTAATTCTTGTTTTATTTCTTTAAGGAAGTACCAAAAAAGGCTATTAATATGGTAAAGTATTGTTTCTATATGAAGCTGTATTTGATTCATATTTCTAAAACTAAACATTAAAATATTAATACTCCAGAAATTATTCTTTTTTAGCAAACAGTGATATTTTAGATTGTTTAAAAATCTTCTTTATTCCTTAACTGTGGTCTTTTCAATAGACCTAAGTTTTTTTCAGTCAAGACCTTCCATGTAAGCAGGAGTCCTCCATATAACCTAAGTTTTCTTTGTTTTTTACTGCTTCTTTCCTTTTAAAACAAAACAAAACAAAAAAACAGAATTTTACCATTTTTTAAACTGAGAATTTTATTGCAGTTAGTCTTTCTCACCTGTAATAGTAATACCTTTGTTTTAATAAAAAAAGATATTTTGTCCACAAATATTAAGAACATACTGTAATAGCAATACCTTTGTTTTAATAAAAAAAGATATTTTGTCCACAAATATTAAGAATATACTGCTAAGTATGTAATTGTCCTGATTGTAAACTTTTGATTATTATATTTTTAATTTCTTAGATAATGTTCTAGTAGGTTATCTCTAGTGAGGAAAATGATAATTTTAAAATCAAACAACCAGTTCATTGAGAAATACTCTCTTTCTTGCTGTTGACTAATTATTTTAAGTAAATTACATGTTCCCATCAATATATCAAATGGAAACAAAGGAAAACTCTTGTAAAAATTATACAGATTCAAAGTCATTTTAGAGTTCTGGAATGAATTATCTACATGGCCAAGAGTGGCTGTTGTATTTCACACTTTCAGATAATATATGTCTGAATTCTACTACCTTGGAAAAATGAATTTTTAAAATAAACCAGCCAAATCAGGATTCTGTCAGTTGCCTTCACTGTAGTTTAATATCATTTAGGAGTTTAATACTGGACTGGGTTATAAGTTATGTAAATCACAGGTTCAGGGAACACTTGCTTGGGAAGAAAGTGCCAAGTCAAAGAGAATAATTAGAAAGCGTCTTGAAAAGATGAAGTATAAATTGTGGCACAGAATTTTGTGGCCTGGGGCCCAGAGCAAGCAAGATTTTCCCTCTTAGTGCCTTAGTAAGCATGCTCTACCCCTTCTCGCCATCTCAAACTGTGGGCCCATGGACACTGATATAGAAAACAATGCCGTCCAAGAAAAAAACATGCAGGCTTTGCCATACACCTCAGTAGGCTTGATTATTTTTCCTCTCTCTCTCTCTCTCTCTCTCTCTCTCTCTCTCTCTCTCTCTTTCTCTCTCTCTTGTATCTGTTAATATTACATAGAAATTTTACATTATATGAACAATGTAGGCAAATGGGAAACATGAAATAAGATGTCTTTTCAGTCAGGTACCAGATGTTAACACAGGACTTGTCCTTTTAATGGATACCTAAATTCATTTAATTCAGAACAGATTTCTATAAAGTAGGACTTTGTTTCTTGGTAGTAACACCTTGGCCTTGAATTATTCACATAATTAACCCTGAGTCTCTATTATTATGGTATAGATGAAAATTACTGGTGGGTTATCCAAGTGAGGTTATTTTTTTCATTTTCTTTCCCTAAGGAATCAACTGAAGTATTTATCAAGGCAAGAAATTTTTATTCAAACAAAATTAATAAAACATAATCTCATAATATTTTCTTTTGTATCTTATGACCATTTATTTTTGTTATTAACAGAAAGCTGAGCTGACTGAAGAAGCAAAGAATTACCAAAAATATCTGGTAAATTTTTCATACAAACATAGCCCAATTAGACTTTACTTGGAAACTGCCAAGTAGCAATCCTCTTGACAAAAAACAAAACAAAACAAAACACTATGTTTACTGAATTCTATTCTACAAAAGTCTTCTCTGTACTATTAGAAATGGTTACAGAAGAACCCCCGCAACTGTACCAGTTATATTATCGCTAGGTATCCACCCAACAATTATTCCATGGTAATTCCAAAATCCCACCAATTTTCTACTTTTTAAAAATGAGAACTTAGCCTAGAGGAAGATGCCACTGTATTTAATTCCAATGTAAATCTCAACAACAATCTGTAGCTAAATCCATATAGATAACTCAAAATAGAACATAGAAGCAGGGAATATGTACTCATAATAAAATATATGGGAGTCATTATGCAAATAAACTTCTCCCTCTATATTAATTCATTTACTTCTACAAGGTAAATAACACTCAGAAAGATTAACTCGCTCAGTGTCATGGATTCAACTAAGTTATATCACACATTGTGTATGACTATGAGGACCAGTGTTTTCCTACCAGAAATAGAAAATAACTCGCAACTGGGGACACTTATCTTAGTCAAGAAATTATCTTCTTGCCTTCCTACATGTATTTTTAATTTTATTGTTTCTTCATTTTTTATTTCTTTCATGCAAACACTGTGGCTTTGGGGTCTGAATTAACCAAACAATTTTCTTAATTCTACAGTTAATTCTATAAATGTAAGCATAGAGTTAATTTTGTATGACTAAATTTTCCTTTAATTAGGTTCATTTATCCAAATAAAGTTTTGATTCATTTGGTTATGTTCAGGCTCTTTGATTCATGGGATACAGAGATAATTATGTATATATTTTTTCTAGAACAAAATCAACCAATATTATCAGTTCTCATTGCCCCAATATGTAAAAGCAGTTTATCAATATCACAAAATTATGAAACCATGGAAAAACATGAAGACAAATGCTTACCAAGTTGTCCACACTCTGGTGAGTGTTTTCTTTTTATTTTTAACTTCAAACTGTTATCTTATGTGCTAAAAGTAAGCTAGGAGAATGAAATTGACATAATCCCAGTGAACTTTCAAGTAGAAGGTGAAACAAATAAAAATGTCTAAGCTATAAATTAAATAATAAATCATATGATGCAAATACAGCATAAAACATAAAAATAATAATGATAAAGTATATGTATGTTGGATTTAAATTTAACTATTTGCTTATAATGTTTCCGTTGATTCTATAGCAATTCTTAGAGACAGGTCAAAGATAAGATTATTATTTACATGTTACAAAAGTATCTGAAATTGTAAAAAGTAGTAGAACCAAGTTCTAGTTAACATTTATTATTTATCTTATTTAAGAAAACAAAAGAGATTCGATCTAGGCAACATTTCTTCTAATATAAAGAATGGATGAAAGAGCAGGTCATTGAACCCAGAGAACTAAAACGTAATAAACAACATGGGATTTGGAATCAGGAGACCTAATATAAATAAGCTTTTGAACTTAGACAAGTGACATAATTTCTCTGGATATTTTAAAATATGACTTAGTTTTTAGACATGCATGTAGCATTTAACAGTGTCTTCCATATAATTTGAGAAAAAAATCAGAACTCAGTACCTCTGATTTGCATATGAGATGGAGGTTGGTTTGTTCCTGTAAATTTCCTTTAAATAAAATTCGTCGATTTTTTTTCTCTTTTCTCTTTAAAGAGGTATTTTTAAGATTCTTGAATTAACTGCTTCTACTTTACTTTGGTAAGTGCCTTTAGGCCTAGAATTTAAGCAATAATTAAAAGGGATTTTTATGTGAAGAAAGTGATCTTAAATAATATTGCTAAGTAACATACTTTCAATGTTAATTAAATTATACTTTGGTTTATAAAGTGTTTTAAATTTTGCTTTCATCTTTTTGACTCCCAAATGTAAGTTTTCTGTTTAATTTGTGTGCATGAGTGTTTCATAAATATTTTAAATATAAATTACAGTATATTTTCACTATACCTAATGATACATTTAGCCAGTAGCAATGGCTCTGTGTGAAAATTGACGCAGGCATAGTATTCACACAGATGATTTCCTGTCATCTCTGAGTTGTGCCAAGAAATTCAGACCTGGCACTTTGGTTCAACAAAAGATATGGAATTACATATCAACAGAATTTCATACACAATTCAAGCCATTTAAGACAAATTTCCTGCATCATTTTCTCTGGAAAACTTAATGTTTTATGCAAAAAAACTTTGCTTATTTTTAAAATTTCTTTCTGACTATTCAATCAATAGATTTAGAGCCATGATGGCAACTCAAGAAAATTGTAATGCCCTTTTTGTTATCAAGATTTATCTTTCTTATTTTGTTCTTGCAGGGTTCATGTTCATCTTCTATCCTAGAATTCTGCCTCATTTAATTTAAATGTTTTGTTCTTTTTATACACCCTGAATGCAAACTTCTAACAGGACAAAGTAGATTTTAAAACAATGAATAACAATAGTAATAATAATTTGTCGATAGCTTATAGTGCACCAATTACAATCCTAAGCCCTCGTCTATATTGACTAATTTAATATTCATAAAAAACCATAGTTAATATTATCAGCTGATTTTTTCCCATAAGTTATTGGGGTACAGGTGGTATTTGGTTACATGAGTAAGTTCTCTACTGGTGATTTGTGAGATCCTGGTTCACCCATTACCTGAGCAGTATACATTGCACCTTATTTGTTGTCTTTTATCCCTCGCTCCCGTTTCTCTCTTCCCCTCAAGTCCTCAAAGTCCATTGTGACCTCAGGTGATCTGCCCGTCTTGACCTCCCAAAGTGCTGGGATTACAGTCGTGATCCACTGTTCCTGACCTTATTCTACATTTTTAAAAAAACTTATCACAAATTTGCCAACCCAAATGCCCATCAGTGATAGACTGGACAAAGAAAATGTGGCACATATACACCATGGAATACTATGCAGCCATAAAATATGATGAGTTTGTGTCCTTCGTAGAGACATGGATGAATCTAGAAACCATCATTTTCAGCAAACTGACACAAGAACAGAAAACCAAACACTGCATGTTTTCACTCATAGGCAGGTGATGAACCATGAGAACACTTGGGCACAGGGAAGGGAACAACACTTACTGGGCTAGGTGGGGGGATGGATGGGAGGAGAGAGGAGGGGGAGACAGTGTGGGGTAGGGAGGATGGGAAGAGGTAACACTGGGAGAAATGCCTGATGTAGGCAGGTGTGGGGGATCGAGAAAGCAAACCACCATGGCATTTACATACCTATGCAACAATCCTGTAGGATGCAGGATGAGCCCAAAGTATAATGAAAAAAAAAAAAAATCTTATTGCATGTCCCATGATACAAGAGATCTGAGAGATACAGAATTATGACACCAGATTTACCTACGTTAAGCCCTGTTCTGACAAAGGCACAGGGATGACAATACAATGTGCCAACTGCTAATTAGACATGGAAGGATATGATAATACAACAAGGTCAAGTGATGAATCAGAATAAATATATAAGACAGAAGGTATTGAATTGACAGAACAATCACGAAAGGAAACAACCCCAAATAATGTTCAATTGCAATTTGAAGCATTTAATTTTAAAATAATTTCTTGAAATATGACCCCAAAGTCATTGTACATAACAAAAATTATTTCACCAAAATCTACATTCCAATTAGATCAAAAGACTTAAGTTATAGGAAGCAGTGATATCTTATATGCCTAATAAGCAACTTAGAAAATAAGAATAATTAAAATGTTCCTTCAAAATTGGCTGAAAATGTAAATATGCACCTTTAATAAATAAAAATGCTATTTTTGCATGCTAGGTTTAATAAGTTTGCTATTAAATCTGATTCATTAATCCGTTTAACTTTATCTCACCAGAAAACAATTTCCTCATCTACTTCATAGGTTGTATTGAGTCCATCAAGCATAAACACAAATAGTTATTAAAAATCTTACTATATACCATGAATTATCTTAGGCATGAGAAAATATTAACTCGTGATAGTTATAAATAACATTCTGCCAGACTAAGATGGATAGGTGTGTGTGTTCTACATATAAACAAAAACTATCTTCTGTAATATATAAGCCCAGTATTGATTTTTGCTTTTTTTTTTTAGGTTTGCCTGGGAAATCTATGTTTTACGGTTCTCTACTCTTCTACTCCATATTATCAGCATGTTTGGACAGGCTTATTGAGAAAGCAGGAATTTTGAGGCAAAAAAGACTGCAGAATGTTTCCTGAATTGCTTATACCCTTCCCACGAGTTCATGTTGAATATGTTGGGTTTGCATTGTGGTTTCAACTGGTTGATGATTAGTTAAGATGTTTCCACCACTGTTTCTGAGTTACAAAAACACATTTCTTTTCCCCTCAAAATAAAATTTCAAGTGATTCATTGGTTTGTATTTGGCATTTTTATTGTTCATATTGACCACTGAGGCTACCAACGCTAATATAAGTAGTTATTTAACAATTAACTTTAAACTAGCTTGTCCACCACCAAAATGCACTGTATACACTTTCTGGACACTTTAATTTTATTTCTCATAACCAATAACCTAGAACACTACAAGTTTTATATTCTCCCAACACAAATGGGCTCACAGTACTATTTAGCTATCATTCTACCATCTGTCTGATTTATTCATGCTTATAATTTGCCACAATTTTAATCTCAAACCTTCATCAGAACCTCACTCCTCCTCTCTCAGTCCACATTGTCAGACTGAAGTATGGAGTCAGCCACCAGGACCATAAACCTTTCAAGACTCCTCATTAATGGTGTCACCAAATGAAGAAAGAGCAAAATCAAACACATGGGTGCATACGTGGGTTATGAGGAACAACTCTGAGGGCGTCAGCACATCCTGAGAAGATGGAGGGTTGGGGAAAGCTATAAGGAAAGCAGATCAGGAAGGAGAGAATAGAGATAAAAGTTATTTGTTAAGCATTCAATTGTAATGGAAAGACATTATAGGAATTTCCATAGGAGAGTAACATTATATGATATATGTAATCGAGAAGTAAAAAACTAAATTTTGAAGACTTTATCTTTGACTTCATAGAATATGTCAATCCTTTATAATTCCCATTGCATTCCATTCTATCCAATTCCTCTTAGCCTTACTTCCTTTCTTATTCAGGCTGAACATTTAAGTGACTTTCAGCAGCTGACATATGACATATATTTTGAAAGGATGGAACAAGTAGAAGCTAAGAGAATTTCCTTTGTCTTCATGAAACCCATCTACCCAACTCCAATCAAGTAAAATTATGATTACATTTCATTCTTTCTACTCTCTATTGGCCTCACTTCCTTTCTTGCACAGTCCGGACTTCATGCTTGCTTATTTTAAATATTATCTTGATAGCTATATAACTTTTCTTCCCCTCTACACTTAGCCAACCCTACCTGGAAAGCACCTAGCCATGTAAAACTCTGAATTTTATTTCTACTGCCATTCCAGCAAAACAGATGGATTCTAAAGTAAGTCAGTTTATTTATGTATTCATTTATTTATTTTTATTGTACTTTGGGCTCTGGGGTACATGTGCACATCCTGCAGGATTGTTGCCTAAGTACATATATGCCACATCCTCCCACCCCATTGCCTACATCAGGCATTTCTCCCAGTGTAATCCCTCCCCATCCTCCCCACTCCCCCGTTTTCTCTCCCCTTCCCTCCCCAACCCCCCCAGTGAGTCTTGTTCCCTTCCCTGTGCCCAAGTGTTCTCATTGTTCATCACCCGCCTGTGAGTGAGAACATGCAGTGTTTGGTTTTCTGTTCTTGTGTCAGTTTGCTGAGAAGGGTTTCTAGATTCATCCATGTCTCTACGAAGGACATGAACTCGTCATTTTTTATGGCTGCATAGTATTTTATGGTGTATATGTGTCATATTTTCCCTGTCCAGTCTATCATTGATGGGCATATGGGTTGATTCCAGTTCTTTGCTATTGTAAACAGAACTGCAACGAACATACGTGTGCATGTGTCTTTATAATAAAAGTACTTATAATCCTTCGGGTATATACCCAGTAATGGGATTACTGGGTCATAATGGAATTTCTGTTTCTAGATCCTTGAGGAATTGCCACACTGTCTTCCATAATGGTTGGACTAATTTGCATTCCCACCAACAGTGTAAAAGTGTTTCTATTTCTCCACATCCTCTCCAGCATCTGTTGTCTCCAGATTTTTTAATGATCACCATTCTAACTGGCGTGAGATGGCATCTCAATGTAGTTTTGATTTGCATTTCTCTAAAGATCAGTGACGATGAGCATTTTTTCATGTTTGTTGGCTGCATAAATGTCTTCTTTTGAAAAGTGTCTGTTCATATCCTTTGCCCACTTTCGAATTGGTTTGTTTGTTTTTTCTTGTAAATCTGCTTTAGTTCTTTGTAGATTCTAGGTATTATCTCTTTGTCAGATGGGAAGATTGAAAAAATTTTTTCCCATTCTGTTGGTTGCCAATTCACTCTAATGATTGTCTCTTTTGCTTTGCAGAGACAAGTTTAATTAGATCCCATTTGTCTATTTTGGCTTTTGTTGCCAATGCTTTTGGTGTTTTAGTCATGAAGTCCTTGCCTTTGCCTATGTCCTGAATGGTGTTGCCTTGGTTTTCTTCTAGGGTTTTCATGGTGTTAGTTCTTATGTTTAAATCTTCAATCCATATGGAGTTAATTTTTGTCTAAGGTGTAAGGAAGGGGTCCAGATTCAGCTTCTTGCATATGCTAGCCAGTTTTCCCAATACCATTTTTAAACTGTGTTGGTAACCAAAGACATCAAACAGTTTCTTATTGATACTAGCATTAACTGCCTTCAACTCTCCTTAAACTTGAAATTTATCTCACCAGAAAACAATTATCCTTCCTACTTCATAGATAATACTGAATCCATTGAGCATAAACACTATCCACTTCCTAGTAGGACACATCAATAATTTTTTATAAATCTGAACGTAATTTTAATTATCTCAAGTTTTAAAGGACATATGACTCGTGAGAAAAATTTAACTCAATAATTCAAGAAACCAACCTAAACTTGGAAATAAAATATTAAATGGTAATTAAGAAGCTTGACTGGCTGTGGAATGTAGCATCTCAGACACAAGAAGAAAGAAATCTTGTCTGTTTTTCCACTATTTAGGATCCCAATACCTAGCACAGTGACAGCACAGAGAAGGTGCTCATTTAATACTTTTAAAAATAAATCATAGAATTTCCATCCAGAAAACCTTAAAATATCTCATAGACCCTGAGGAACAATCTACATTTATTGAGAAACTTCTTGGTATTTTATGTTATTATATAAAATAATAATATTATATGCAATAACATTAACAACATCTACATTCATTCTACTCACCCTCTTAATGAAAATTTGAGATGCACAGTGTTAAAGGAAGAGAAGCTTTGCTAAAGAGAGGAGGGAAGTTGAGAAAGGTAAGTCTGGAATACAGGACACTGGGAAGAGGAATAAAGAAGCAGAGGCTTCAGTGGACACTTTAGAGACCCAGAGTGTGCTGAGAGCAGTGGGAAGGACAATGGAGGGTGCAGAGAAGAAGGCCTGGCGCTACTGATCTCACAATTCTATGTCAATCCTAAAAGTGCGAGTGCTTTCCTTCTATTTTTGTCCTAGCATATTTAGGTTGGCATATTCTGTGGACTATAACATTCTCATTGGCTTAAACACAACATATTTCCTCCTCAATTGCAGTTTATTCAATTTTCTTAAAAGATTATTACTTCCTACATCAAAAATATGGAAGTACACTGGCAGAGAAATGCAAATCAAAACCACATTGAGATACCACCTCACGCCAGTTAGAATGGTGATCTTTGAAAAATCTGGAGACAACAGATGCTGGAGAGGATGTGGAGAAATAGGAACACTTTTACACTGTTGGTGGGAGTGCAAACTAGTTCAACCATTGTGAAAGACAGTGTGGCGATTCCTCAAGGACCTAGAAATAGAAATACTGTTTGACCCAGCAATCCCATTACTGGGTATATAACCAAAGGATTATAAATTATTCTATTATAAAGACACATGCACACGTATGTTGGTTGCAGCACTGTTTACAATAGCAAAAACCTGGAACCAACCCAAATGTCCATCATCGATAGACTGGATAAAGAAATGTGGCACATATACAACATGGAATACTATGCAGTCATATAAAACAATGAGTTCGTGTCCTTCATAGGGACATGAATGAATCTGGAAACCATCGTTGTCAGCAAACTGATACAAGAACAGAAAGCCAAACACTGCATGTTATCACTCATAGGCTAGTGTTGAACAATTAGAACACGTGGACACAGGGAGGGGAGCATCACACTGGGGTCTGTTGCAGGGGTGGGCAAGGGAGGGACGGCAGGGGAGAAATAACAGATATAGGTGATGGGGGGATGAAGGCAGCAAACCACCTTGCCATGTATGTACCTATGCAACAATCCTGCAAGATCTGCACATGTACCCCAGAACTTAAAGTACAATTTTAAAAAACATACATTATTACTTATCATATATCGTCACAGTTGTAACATAAGTGATATATAGACAGGACAAATACAATCAGCTTCGACTTCTTTGTTTCTCCTTTAGGATTACAATGGCTATCGTCACCAACTTCATCCATCTCTGAATATTCCTTATGGCATACGGAATTTGCCACTTCCTCTTTACTATCCCCGGGTGAATACAGTCCCAGTTACCCTGGGAATCCTTACACTGATATGGTTATCTCCATATCCCTGGATCTGACTGCTCCTAGATTCCCCTTCGTCTATCACATTCCTGGTTTCTCCTTAGCTACTCAATTGAATGTTCCTCCTCCTCCCCATCTTCCTCCTTCTCCTCCTCCTCCTCCTCCTCCTCCTAGCGATTTCCCCCTTGTCCCTCCTTCAGGGATTTTTTTCAGCAGCTGCAGCACCTGCTGTGAGCCTGCTGCTACAGCACCTCCTGCAGCCACACCTGTAGCAGCTAAGCCTGCTGCAGAGGCACCATCACCAGCTGAGCCTGCTGCCCCAGAATCTCAGCCTTCTCCCTCTTTTGATAGTAATCAGGTAGGTTACTTATATTTTACCACTATAATTATGAGAAATGTGATTTGTAGAAGGGAAGACAAACAAACTCTTCCCAAGCAAACCTATATCAACTTAAATATTTTGAACAGTTTTATTGAGATACAATTGACATACAGCAAACTACACATATTGAAAGTGAATACTTTGACATGTTTTGACATATGTATACACTCATGAAAAGAATTAGCAGGATAAGGAATGTATCTACCACTGTCAAAAGTTTCCTCCTCCTCCTTTGTAATCCCACTTTCTCCATTCTTTCATCCCTGGACTGCTTTTTTGTCACTGTAAATTGGTTTGCATTTTCTAAAATGTTATGTAACTGGAATTAAATTGCAAGTACTCTTGTGTCAGACATCATTCTCTTTTAGAGATTTATCCATGAAGTTGTATCGACTATAGTTTGGTTCTTTGCAGATTAATATTTTATTATACAGACACACCATAATTTATTTACTCATTTATCTGTTGATGAACATTTTAGCTTCCAAACTGCATGCATTTATTTACTTACTGCATGCTATACTGGCTTAAACATCCAGCAGAATGTCCAATAACAGTGATTAGATGGGCATCCCTGCTCTGTTCCTAATATTAGGGGCAAGCATTAAGTTTTTAAATATATCTTTACACATACACATGCACATATATATACCTACACACCCTCCTCCTCCTGGGGCCATACATACATTATACACATATATTATTATGTATATAATGTACATAGCATGTACATAATGTATATATGTAGGGCACACACATATAAGTGTGTATATGCACATACATTTTCATGAGCTTTATTCTGGAATGCTATTAGGGTAGTATGCTTTTACGCTTTATTAAACAGGAACAGAGAAATATTTTTATATAAGACGTTTTTTCCTTTATTGAGATCAAACTACTCTGAGTGTTCAACTTAAGTCTGTGAATTTTGTGGTTTTTCACTCTGGCTGGTGGGATCAAGAACTTTTTCCTGCCCTATGCGAGCACCAATTATTGTTCTATTCTGTCCTTTCAGGTAGTTCTCTACCTGACCTCAGGTAGTGTCTTTGTATAATTAATCAATTGTTGAAACGTGAGGGTATCCTCTTTTTAAAAACATTTCAACTTTTATTTTAGATACAGGGGTTATATGGGGGTACACGTGCAGATTTGTTACATGGGGATATGATGTGATGCTGAGGGTTACAGTGTGGATCCATTCACCCTTCACCACTTTACTAAGAGGTGGTTTTATCACCCAGCCGTAACCACCACCCTCTAGTAGGCCACAGTGTTCATTGTTCCTATATTTATGTGCATGTGTGCTCAATGCTAAGCTACCATTTATAAGTGAGAACATACAATATTTAGATATTTGTATCTACATCTTTGTGCCCTGTTCCTATCAGATACTCTGCCTGTAAATTTCAGCTATCTTGGCCTTCCTGGACTCCCAGCTCTGTCTCCGTAACTCAGAGCATCTGTTGGGGCTTGCGCTCTCTCTCTCTCTCTCTCTCTCTCTCTCTGTGTGTGTGTATGTGTGTGTGTGTGCGTGTGTGTTTCTGTGCAGCAAGCCGTATGTGTATATGTTTTCCCATGCTCCCGTGCACCAAGCCCTGGAAACTCTCTCCAGGTAGTATGCTAGGACAATCATAGAGACTACCTACCTTGCTTCCTGCCTGTTAGTGGTCACTGTTCTACACAGCTTGATATTTACATATTAAAAAATTGCTCCTTCTCGTATTTGCACATTATTTTTGTTTCAAGCAAGAGAGTAAATGCGGTTTCTATTACTCATCTTGACCTGAGCAAAGTTTACTAAACTTTGAGGAAAACAATTATTTTCAGAAACAAAAATTAAGAAGCACTTAGTTCCTAAGTTTTAGTACATATGACCCAACCAATTAGGCTATTTGACCAATGGGAAAACAGGATTCTGAACTACATAGAAGATACTCTGAACCCTGGCAAGAGGCTAAAACAAATGGAAGTTTAAATCCACCAGTGAATTATTTATGTAGCACATTGCCACTACTTGGAAAGTTTAGTAGTTGTTTCATAGAAGGAGATAAGAACTCTTTTAAGATATTCACCAAGGGGTTACATTAAATGGTGTTGGCAGCTTCTCTAGAGATGTATGATGAGCCAGGCTTGCTCTCCAATGCTTCACACATTAAACACGTTCATTCGGTAAGTTTGACACAAGCACTTTCCATCTGCCGGCCTATTATGGACACTGCATATATGCCTGTAGCTCATGGTTCACATGAGGTAGAAGAAAATGATAGAAAGTAAAGATAAAAAGAAATAGAACATGATAAGAAGGGACCTTGAAAACACTGCTCAATACCTTGGACTTTATCCAGTAGCCAAAGCAATTTATTAGGGATCTTCATTGAAATGAGCGATTCAACCAGTTCTGTGTTTCAGAAAGCTAGATCTAGTAGCAGTATAAAATAGTTTAAACATGTTAAGAAGTGATCAGCAGAACACAACTTCTTAGGGAAGAAAAGTTATTTGGAAAATATAGGCCTAATACTATGAAATAAAGTACATTTGATTGTTTATGAAAAGATCTTTTTTGATGTTTTCTAGGCAAATCTGTGCAATTCTCTAGAAGAGTACCATGGGTTCATTTCTGTAAGTCATATGTGCTAATATAATTTAGAAATTACAGATAAAGAGGTTAAATCTCACAATCTGGAGCTACCTTTGAATGTGTTATATTTTTTACTACATGAAAGTGAGAAAGTGGAGTTTAGAGAAGCCCTGGTAGTTTTTGCCTCAGAACCTCTCAAAGTATGACGTCATGTCCTGCGTAAGGAACTCAGACTACTCCTGAACAACTAGAGTTCCTCCTTGGATTGACCCAAATTGATTATGACTTGAACATTCTAAATTAACAGTAGTTAATATAGGGAAAAACCTTTCATATGGGAGAAGAGTGTTGGACACTATATGGAAAGAGACATTGTTAAGGTTATCACAGATCATTCTGTATACTATCCCTTTAGGCAGCATCCTACCCCATATCAAGGACTACTGTTTAGAAAACAAACAATTTAGGCCTGAAGCCTCCCTGTTCCCACCTTGTACCACCAAACAGCCCAAACAAACAGCTCAATTAGACTCACTGTGTCTTAGTTGTCTGATTAGAAGATAAGCAAGGAATTTGACCATCTTAATTTCTCGTTCTCATCCTTCATCTTTTCTCAAAGATGTTCCAATTTTACTGTTCACTGGACAGGAAAATGGCAAGGCTTTGACTGTCAGCCAAATCAAAATTATTTTCTAAGGTGACATCATTAGGTAAAGTAGAATTGAAAAGCAAATGTGATGGTAGTTATTATCATTGGTGATGCCTCTTTACAGTAGCCATTGCCAAAGAAACTAAAAGATATCCATTTTTAGTTAATTCCTAACTATTGCTATATTCTTTTGGGTTTTATTTATTTTACTTCTACGCAAAATGAACAATTGGCTAGTGAATCAGCTCAAGATATTAGATACACATAACAGTGTATATATTCTGTAGTCATTTGTACTTAGTTTTTTGCCATGTAAATAACCCAATTCACAACAGGTAAAGGAAAACAAATACTACTTCTTGGGAAAAAGTCTATTAAGGCAGAGAAGTAGCTTCACATCATTTGGTATCAGCAGATAGTGTGGATCTGAAACCAATACCCACACAGAAAATATCCTGTGTAATATATACGTGCATGCAAATAAATTATAACATTGAATTCACATTACATTTTTATTTTGTTGTTATTGTTTTTATTGCATTTTAGGTTTTGGGGTACATGTGAAGAACATGAAAGATTGTTGCATAGGCACACACATGGCAGTATGATTTGCTGCCTTCCTCCCCATCACCTATATCTGGCGTTTCTCCCCATGCTATCTCTCCCCATCTCCCCACCCCCCAGTGTCCCTCCCCTATTTCCCCCCAACAGACCCCAGTGTGTAGTGCTGTTACAAGAATGCATTAGTTGTTACACGTACACATAAATTCCCTTGCAAGAATCCATCATATTTGCAAGAAGACAAAAGAAAACAAGATAAGTCTCTTAAAAGTGATTTTTGTTTGTAGCATGAATTTGTAGATAACCATTCAATATAGTCTTTTAAAAATAACATTAAAATCATAAATTAAGAAAAATAATTTTACTTTAAGTGTAAGTCACTTGGTCATTTTATTACACTAAACTAATATGTTATTTTATTCTTTCAGATAGTGACGCAGAAATCAGTGAAATCTACAAAAATTTTCTTTATTTTCCAAAGATTATTTCACTCTGTTTTATTCAAAGTATTTGCCTCACTACATTGATTTGTTTGTGACAGTTTTTCCTTGGACTTAATTTATATTGAAATAATATTGATGATGTGCCTTTTTTCAATTCAAAATTTTAAAGCCTACCTCATAAATATGTACATAATTGTCAAAGACTTAAGCATATGGTGGCAATGAGTGTCTTACCTTTGAACACTGTCTAAATATACAACACAAATGGATTTTTTCTTTTTATCTTTTGTTGCCAATTTTTTTTCTCTTTCAAGTAGAAAGAAGGCAATTGAAGGAAAGACACTCTTCATTCAATAGCTCTCTCTCCCCATTGCCTTATCCCCAAAATGATTCATCTACTTTTAGAAAAGTTTATTTAGTTTCAACTTATATAGCACTTGTCAGTACTGGGAGCCCTACTAAGTGTCTTACGAATATTAACTATGAAGCGTTTATTTATTGTCTCCATTTTAAAGATTAGAAAACTGAGTAACAGAGAAGACAAATGATTTGCCAAAGATAACATAGCCAGAGAACGTCAGAGGCAGGATGAGAAAGCATAGCAAGAAAATGTAGGATCTTTATTGGAAGTTAGAAGATGACACACACATGCAGTTAAGGATAGCGACTGTATGGATTTCTTCCAGCTGTTGCAAAAAATAATCACAAAGTTGGTGGCTTAACACAACCAAAATATATTCTCTCA